CAATATGGTAAGGGGCGTAACATTTCCGTCACACGCTTGAGGTATTCGGCCAATCACAACGCACTGATAGCTGGCCAATCAGAGCACACCTCGCTTTTCAGACCTATGAGCTGTGTAAAAATCGGCGTGTTTCAGAAAGGTGGGGCATAGAGGAGAAACAGTAATGTACAGTATGTGGAAAATAATGTTTTTTAACCTTAAACTGCATAAACACATTTCATTACACCAAATACACAACATAATGCTCTTTTTAGCAGCATCATATGACCCCCTTTAAATTGTTCGTTTTTGTGATAAGTTTGATTTTAGCTAGTAATTTGATGCTATAAAAACGGGGCGTGTCGTTTTGGTTGATTGGGTCTGCTGGAGTTTGGGCGGGAGTTTGATACCGCTGCTCCACCTCACGATACTTCTGCGCAGACTCTGGCTCCAAACGAATGTCTACTGCTGCAGACTCGGGCTCCAAATGACGTCATTTACTCAAGATGGCAGCGGCCCTACTGAGATGCTTTGGCTTCACTTTTCTATAGTGGAAGGAATAGGAGACGCGTCGTCCATCTTTTTTTGCAGTCTATGGGTTGTACAGAAACGCATTTTATTGAGAATGAATGAATGAAATATCTTATTATACATTCACTGTTACCTTAACCATTTGTCTGACTACTGTGCAAATATAGTTTAAAAAGACAAATGTTGTATAAAGACAATAACAAAATCACATGTATGAATAAATAAAATACATTCTATTTACTATTTAAATAAATATTAGCTTTTAGAGTTGATAAAATCATGCACAACATTGCATCTTGCATTTCAGGGTCTTGTCCTACTGAGAACTGGACTGCTTGACAAGCAATATAGGGGAGCCCGGGGCTAGTTGTCACAAGTTTTATTCCAGTGAATTTATTTTTGAAAGTCGGTATATGTATAGACACGTGCCTTAAGTCTTGGCAACTAATGTTAGCATTTTAATTGTCTTCAGTTGTTTATTCAACAACTATTGCAAAAAACAAACAAACAAAAAAAACTACTGATAAACAGATAAAGTGATATTGGATTTGAAGAACAGATTTCAGAAAATTAATTGTAATTGAAGAATCATCTTTGTGATGTGTGACGATGTGACAGCAGCGGTATTCTGTGAAATAATCGAAGGTTGTAAAATATCGTGAAAGACTTGAGGTTAGTAGTAAGACGTAATCTTTAAACACAGACTACCACTATTTCCTTTGACCACCCCTTTCCTTTTGACCCCCTTTCTCAAAGAATAATCCCTTATCTCATAATCCGCACTGCTGGTTGTTGAGAGAGCCGACTGCCATTCAGAGCAAGTTTAACATGACATCCTTTACAAAGGATGAGGAGGAGCGCCATGACAGTTACCAAAGGAAGGTCTACGAGAATCTACAACACAAGTGAGTGCTCGTGTGATCAGTTAGCTACTTCTCACTTTATTTTATTAATTTCGTCCCAGTCCAAGATCTGTTTATACTTATCTCGGAATTATTTTACTCAGTTATTATTTTACTTTTAAGTTTTCTATTCACAAAAATTTAGTTTGTGATGTCGAGGTGTTGTGGTGCACGTTGCCATGAAATTTTACAGTAAATTCTGATTTCATTGTGTTCCTGTTCTCCCCCTTACCGTTAAAACCCATGAGAGGGCGCTATTGTCTGTCTACAAGGGTTGTAAAAAAAATATTAGTGATAATTCACGCATAACCAGAGGCAGACAGTAACTAAGTACATTTACTTGAGTATTGTACTTAAGTACACTTTTTGAGTATCTGTACTTTACTTGAGTATTATTTTTTCTGGAAACTTATGACTTTAACTTCACTACATTTGAAAGAGAAATATTGTACTTTTCACTCCACTACATTTCTATCTAGATCCTCAAAGTAGAAAGTCGTTAGCAGCTTTGAAAGTCAGTGGGTCCTTTTTTTCTTCTCTAAACATGAC